CCATGTATTCACTTTTTCCGGTATCTGACCTGTGATACATCTGCGTAAATTTAAAACACCAGTGTTGTATAAGATGTAGTTTTCAAGTTCTGGCTTTAATATGTTCAGGTCCCCTTGTCTTACTTTAAGTAGGTAAATGTATGTTAATGTTGCTAACTAAAATGTACTATTGCTTTTCTTCAGGGAAAACTCAGAAATTGAGTTGCAAATTAGAGCAATGCAAAGTGATCCCTGCCCAGGTGTCTGCTCCAATTCCAGCTGTGCCTGGAGAGGGAGGCGTGGGCTCTCCTGCTCTGCTGAGAGCTGAGCATCCCAAGAAGTTTCTGCCATTGTACTTGACTAACCCGTGTTTGCAACTTTGCTGTGCTTTTTACGGGAGAAACCAGTACTGAAAGCAAATAAATTCAGCCACATCAAGTCAGAGTAGATCTACAGCATAGGTGTGCGAACTTTTTTAGGTAAAATTTCCAGTTCAATTACTGAAAATTACGACTATGGTTTTACAAAGTAAAACTGCAGTATCTTTAAAAAAGGGACTCTTTTGTAGGTGTGCTTGTTTTCCGTGGGTATCCGTCTCAAACTGAATGTTGGGTTTGTTTGTAAGTTAATTCAGAGTATAGCGTATGTGAGCAAAACAAACAGCTGTATTCTGCTGCCCTCTGTTTGGACCATATTGTTTAATCAGTGGTGTTACCTTAAACTTCTGAGGATATCTGATGTAACGACATTGGTTAATGGTTTACAATAAAGTTTCACTTATTACAGATTTTTACACTTGCTTTGCATTTGTTCTGTTTAGAAGCGTGCGTGTTCCAATGTTTGTAACGTGCCACTGTGGGGAGCAGGTTTTGCTCCTGGAGTTTAGCTTCAGAACTGCAGATCTAATCTTTTGCAGTCTCACGTTGGTTTTAATTTCAGTATATTAATTTACCTAAACAGCAAGTCCCAATTCAGTTGGAGGGACCACTATTAAGTAGCAAATTTTGTTTACAGCTGTAAGAATCCTTGCAAGCTCAGATCAGATCTGTTCCCTGAGGGGGGATTTTGCCCTCTACATGCGCACACATGGCGAATAACCATTTGTATTTTCGTATTGAAATTAAAACCTTCAATGCATGCAACCCAGGAGATTGCAGAACACTGCCCTGAGGCTTTTGGGAGTGTAGGATGTTGTTCATGTAATCATAGCATATTTGGGTTAGAAGGGACCTTAAAGGTCATCTAGTTTCACCCCCCGCCGCCATGGGGGGACACCTCCCAGTGGACCAGGTTGCTGAAAGCTCTGTCCAATTCGGCCTTGTTAAAATGCTTTACCCACACAGCTGATTATCACAGCCTGCATTCAGCTTTTCAAGCAAAGCCACCTTTTGGTTGTTGGCAACAAGAATGTGTGAAATGTAGACGTTTCTGAATGTACCTCCAGTGTCCTGCCCCTTGGCAGAGGCACGGCCTAAGTCAGTAACTTGTTAAGCTGTTTTATCTTCTGTGCCCCTTCTGATTTGTTTGCAGCAGGTAGTAGAAATGCAAGCTGAGGGAAGATGCCTGAGGATTTCGTGAAGTTTGCTTGTGCAGTGCCTTTTATCACAGAACTTATGTAGTGCCTTCTTGGAGACAGAAAAGGACCAGGTAGGGATGTCTACTTCTAGGACCAGGAAGCCTCTCTGTCCCCCATCTCTAGAGGGCAACATGATGGAGATGACTGATGTCTTCCTTGCTTTAATATCTACTGCTTCCCAAAACCATGAAAGAGGAGAAGAGCAAAACAGTGCTGATTCTTTTCCGATTAAGACATCGCTCCTCCATGTTACCTGTGTAGTGCAGAGTTGTCTCTGGAGCTCTGGGGAAGCAGCTTGGACTTCCCTTGTTACACCCAACAAAATGAGTGTAGCCTAGCGTGGGTTTTTTTCCTCTTTTGTTGAGCAAAAAGATTCATTACATTCATTACTCCCCACCTACTACACACAAGCAGTCCTGTCCCATACCCACTGCCTCCTTAAAGGGAATTCAAAGAATAATCTTCAACCGATCAAGCTGATCATTCCACTGAGGGATGTTAGCAGTTTCCTGGAGCAGCAAATCTTCTGTAAGATCTGTCGCTCCTCAAAATCACAGTGGCCAGATGTGTGTACAGTCACTAATTTCACTAATTTCTCCATGGTCATCACCATATTTTAGCTGCCGCCGTTCCTCAGCGAAGGAGTTTTCCATACTGCATTGCAGTGGAAGATGAAAGAATCACAGAGGAGAACTCTCAGATCATCAAGTCCAACTGTCAACTCAGCACCACCATGGTCACTAATCCATGTCCTGAAGTGCCACATCCATGGGCTTCTTGAACACCTGCAGGGATGGTGACTCCACCACCGCCCTGGGCAGCCCCTTCCAGTGCTTGACCATTCCTCAGTAGAGAATTTTTTCCCAATATCCAATCTAAACGTCCCCTGGCACAACTTGAGACCATTTCCTCTTGTCCTGTCACTGGTTACATGGGAGAAGAGACCAACCCCCACCTCTCTACCCCCTCCTTTCAGGTAGCTGTGGAGAGCGATAAGATCTCCCCTCAGCCTCTTCTTCTCCAAACTAAACAATCCCAGCTCCGTCAGGTGCTCCCCATAATTCTTGTTCTCCAGACCCTTCACCAGCTTTGTTGCCCTTCTCTGGGCACACCCCAGTGCCTCAATGTCCTGCTTGTAGTGAGGGGCCCAAAACTGAACACAGGATTTGAGGTGCGGCCTCCCCAGTGCTGAGTACAGGGGCACAGTCACTTCCCTTCCCCTGCTCACCACACCATTTCTGATACAGCCCAGGATGCTGTTGGCCTTGGCCACCTGGGCACACTGCTGGCTCATGTTTAGTCGGTTGTCAACCAGTTAACTCAAGGTCCTTTTCTGCCTGGCAGCTTTCTAGCAATAGTGGCTATTAAATAAACAAGCCTATCTTATTTCATTGTCATTCATGTCCCATTTAACAGATCTCAGGACCTCAACCAGGTGAACAGGATTTCTGGTCTGAAATGTAAGTAACTGTAGATTTTAGGTTGGTTTTTTGGTAAGTATAAATGAGCCTGTGATCTGTAAGAGGAAATGGTTGTGCTTGTTGTTCAGCACTGGTCTAGGAAATGTATAATCCAAGAGAACAGAATTGTCCGGGCTATAGAAGATGTCTTAGAAACGTTGGGATATGATGCCTACCTCTGAAGCTCCTCATCTCCCACCCTGAGTAGCCTGCAAGCTGAAGGTGTTTTCATTTTGTTTGTATAAGTTAAATTGCCATGAAAGCACAAGCCTGTTGCTTTCGAGTGAGGAAGATATAGTGCTAATTAAATGAAGCCATTTTGAAAGCTGGAGGGGAAAATAATTTCAGCATCTTGAATTCTAAATGTTCACCTTAAACATGCAGAATGCTGCTTTCCTGTTGAAACAGATAGCACCAGAATGGTGGTGCTTATGGGACTGTAGAAACACCTGTGTAGAGAAGCAGAGGTGTTACTTTGTACAGTAGAAAAAATGATCTGCTGTTTTTCCTAAAGTTGAGGAGTTTTTTCCCATCTACTTTGGTAGCCTGCTAAGAGGTACTGCTGTTCGGCCAGAAACTTTCCTTCTAGTTTAGCAAGCCGTAGGTTTAAAATAGACGTTCAAATAAGGAATGGCTAAGTACATAACAACCAAACTTCTTCTTAACCTACAAATAATTCCCCCAGTAGTCACGTAAAGGAAAGCGTCTTCTCAGGTCTGGAAAGAGTTTACCTAAAAGGCAAAATGGGGATAGTTCACACCGACAAATCCTATGGTCCTGATGGCATAGCACTAGTGCTGCGGTATAGGTGTGATGTTTTCATAATGGAAAATATCAATTTTATTTTACCTTCTGTGCTTCCCTCTGCAGCCTAAACAAAACGCAGGCAAAGCTTGAGAAAAGGCCGCAGCAGATTGCACCACTGCGACAGTTGATGTTTCTAGTAAAAGATGTTTGGAGGTTGCCACCTCTGCCTTTCTTGTATTACCACACCTGGCTGGAACCTTGGTTCTTTGTAGATGTTGGGTGCAGTCACAGAAGCTGATTTCTTTTTTGCATGATGCAAAGAATGAATGTAAAAAAAACCCTGTAAAACTAAAAAGGAAACAACCTTCCACCCGACCCTTTCCCAGTAATAAAGATTAGAATTCACACTTATGAGGATTCTTTTTTTCCTACTGAATTAAAAAAATAGTTAGAAAACAAATCTTAAAAGTTCTGGAAAAGGTTTTACTGCTGTCAGTGTGTACAGTGGGGAACACTGAATTTACTCATGTCTGAGTAGTCCATTCCTATGCAGATGACGGGTGAAAGGATTAAACTTACTAATACAGATGTAAGTAGAAGGTGATTTTACACTCTTAAATGCATAAGAGCTGGCGTCAGAGCAAGCTCAGCAATAGAACCGTGTGCGTAACGCCATGTCCCATTTTATTAACTCTCCAAAACAGAGAAAATGCTCCTCTGGTAAAGATCCCTGCGCAAAAGCAAGTTAGGGCACAATGTTATGCTTCAGATGTTCAGTTTATATAATCTTAGTACGTATTTTGTTACTCTGAGAGAGAAACTCACTTTCCCACCCCCCTCGCACATCGAAAGGATTCAGAGTCAATTTTGTTTCTGTTTTGCCTTTTAAAGCTATAAATACAGCCCCAGCAGACTCCCCAGGAATTTGTTTTTGTCGTGGATCGGGCTTCCCTGTGGTCCCAGTGCCACAGCTGCCTGCTCTTGTCAGTCCCCAAATCCCTCTGTCCCCGGGCACAGGGTGCAGTAAATACTGCAAACCCGAGTCATCGCCAAGAATAAACCCTTCAACAACAACAGCCTCTGTCAACCGGAATCATCCTGGCTTCTGGTTTGGGAAAATGACACAGCTAATGACTTTGTGTTAGATGCTCTATATAAGTCAAGGGAAAAAGCCAGACGTCGGCAGAGCACACGGGCTGGATTTAAGCAAAGCCAGGGAACAACCTCGGAAGGGATTACAGTCGAGTGAGCCCCACAGTTATGTCACAGGTATGGGGACATCTGTATGAGGCGGGCTGTCCTCGGAGCAGGGTGCCCGACGAACGCGTTACTGTTTTAGTTTGCTTGGAATAGCTGATCAGCAAGTTGCTCCCATTAACCAGTGAATTCGGCATTTCTGCTCTGTGTTACTTGTTGGATTATGTTAACGTACTTAAATGCTCTGTTTACATATTTGAACAAGTAAATTGTTAGGAGGGATTATTTGATGAAGAAGGAAAGCAGCTACCCTCTATATGGTCAATTAATTTAGTCTTAAAATGTTCAGTTTTACCATAAATACTTTTATTTCTGTAAGGGAAAAACCATTTCCACTGCTCTGGTTTGGGTTGTTTTACAGAAGCAGTGATTTCTGCTTTTCTGATACGCTTCCACAGACAGAGATTGGAAATTTTGGCAGTAGGTTTGAAGGAACATGGCTACAGTGAAGTGTGCTGCTGTGTATTAACATGCAGGAAAAGAGAGAGCACAACCGAAAATTAGAACTATTAGGTTACGATATTTGAGACTTACATTTTGTATTAAACACTTATATGTTCATTTTGTAACTAATGGGTTGTCTTTACTGTGTTGGTTTCAAAGCATCTTAAAATTAACTCAGAAACGTTGAGTTTTACACGTACGTGTTATGTTTTCAACACAAGCTACGCGTGCTTGGCAGAGTTCTCCTCAGTCTGAGAGCTTTCCGTGGTGAGTGGGATCGAGAGCAGGAGCACAGGGAGAGTAGAAGAGCACAGTCCTTTGACCTGTGTGACCTGGTCTGGTGATCCTGCTCTGGCAGGGGTTGGACTGGATGAGCTTTCGAGGTCCCTTCCAACTCCTGAGATCCTGTGATTCTGTGACCACATACAGTAATGCGCTTCAGCTTATTTTCTTTACTCCAAAGAAAGACTTAAAAAAACCACTTGCGTGTCTTGTTAACCAACACTTTTTGACTTGTGACAGGAGGAGATAAAGCACAGTCTGCGCTGCTGTGCCAGCTGGGAACGGCTCCTGCGTTGGGAGCAATTATAGCCCTTGTGTGGCTGTGACGCTGGCCGGGCTGGGGCTCACCCCTGTGCCTCACAGTAACCTTTCTGTGTGGCATTTTTACTTTTTATCTGGGGGTCAACTAATCCACAGCAGCTGTCCTGCTGATAAGTCCACCTGTAATCAAAGCATGAGAGGTTTTATTTTAAAATGACCAGGTGAAATTCAACAGTTCTGCTCAGCCCGGCTGTGTCTCGGTGCATCTCAAGTGCCTTCTTTCCTTACACCGTTCCCAAGAAGTCCCTTGTCTGGGTGGAAAGAAGCCTTGCAGTTATTGTCTCTTGCCAATAGTGGGTGAAGGACCTTGGCAGGTTTTGTATTCCCATTAACAAAACGGGAGGTTTTTTCCTCTTTCTGTGTTGGACTCAACACAGGTCCATATTGGCTGCCTGTGGGCCATGCCATGGGCATAGGGACCGTTCCTATCACATGCCAGTTTTGATTGCAGGTGGACAAATGAAACACTGGCTGTAGGGATGTTTAATTAACCAGTTAACCAACCAAAAGCTCTTGGGAATTGTGAAGGGTTTGCTACCACCCATTCCCCTCGCTTGCTTTGGCTGCGCATGGAGTGTTTTCCCCAGAGGTCTTGGGAATGTTGTGTTTCCCACAACACATGCAAATGGAGTTGCCAGTGAGCTATTCTGAGCCTTCCTGGCAATCTGCAGCCAGCAGGAAACATGCCGAAGGCTCCAGTGCAGTCAGCCCACCCTTGGCCCAAGCCAGCACGCACGCTCTGTCTCTGCTGGCTCCCTGGGACTTGCTGCTGAGCCGTTTGCAGGCCTTGGGGGGTTTGTTTCCCTCCACAACTGTTTTTAGCTTTACAGGTGGTGCCTAGAGATGCAGTCTCAGAACTGAAGTAGGTGGAATATTGTATTAGCAGCTCTGTATGCTGCAGTCTTTAGGTCAAGGCAGCTTTGTTCCCTATGCTTCTAAACACAAAATACTGATGCGTGGGCAATATGTTTGTTTCTTAGCCAGCCCCTGTGAAAAAGAAGCGTCCTCCAGTGAAGGAAGAAGACCTCAAAGGAGCCAGAGGAAACCTTTCTAAAAACCAGGAAATAAAATCCAAAACCTACCAAGTGATGAAGCAGTGTGGTAAGTCTCCTTGATGGAAACAATTGAGCAGCCTTCCAAAGTAGAACATCTACTTCCTTGCTCTTCTCAAGTGAAAAGGTGTGCCTCTGAAACAGCAGAGGCTGGGCTGGCTGTGCAGGGGCTTTGCATCCACCATCCTGATGGCACCGAGAGCTGCCAGTGTGGTCAACCAGTGGAAGAGTCCAAGGGAAAAGGATTAATTTTAATCCCTTTTCAGCACCGTAGCCTGAACCTCAGTAGTTTCCAAGTTTCTGGTGGGGATTTGGAGCCAGTCAAGACTAATGACCCCACCTCAGGATGGGAGTGCTGTGCTTTAAGGTCTGGGAAGTTGATGGATGGATGAAATATTTATCAAATGTGTATATGTGTTTCAGCAGCACTAGTTTTACTCCTTGAATTTGGTGTGCTGCTTCACTGATTGCCTCTCCTGGTTTTCTTTTCCAAGAACAAATGGGCTCTGCAGCACCTTCCATATTCAGCCGAGATCGGACAGGAGGTGAAACAGTCTTTGAGAAGCCTAAAGAAGAGCCAGCCAAGAGCGTCTTTGGCTGACTCTGCAGCTGGATGTGTCTCACCCAGATAATTGTCGTAACGTTTTCCCAGATTTCTGCCCCTTACGCTAAACTCACTGTAGACCTTAGAAGCTAATTTCTGTTGTAAGTCATTAGGTAGGGAATAGACTCGTGTCAAAGGGTACAACTTCCATGTAAACTTTTACTATGTGCTTTCTTTCTATGTGTTGAATGGTGTTTGCTATAATGGTTTAATAAAAAAAGGTTCCTTGGACACAGCTTGGCACACTGGTGACTAATTTCAATTTTGGCTCAGATTCATTCTGTGGACACTTTGGCATTACGAGCTATGATCCCGTCTGTCCAATGCAAAGACAACACAGTTGTAGCAGCAGTGTAATTTCTTCATGCTGTGCCCTCACCAGCAGCGAGCTGAGGAGGAGCTGCTCGAAGGGGCACCACAGAAACCTGGAGGCTTCACCCAAACCCGTGCTGCCTCTCGGAGCTGGGGTGTGTGGCAGGGCTCTGCCCTCAGGGCCTTCCCCTCACAGCTCCCTTATGGCCCCTCAGGGCAGTGGTGCCATGACTTCCCCATCATGGCTGTGCCAGGTGGGGTGCTGGGATGTCAGCGTGCCCCAGCGCCAAGGGAGGGCTCTCAGCCCGTTCCCCAGTGGCTCTTCGAGGTCCCCCCGTTGATTCAAGTGAGAAGCGGGGTGACAGACCAGCAGCATGGGTGCCGTGTCCTGCCTGACTGAGGCGGCCAAATGACTTGCTGTCTCTGTACAGCAGCAAACCTGCTCTAAGTGGAAGGGGTTTTGTTTTTGACTCTATTTACATCTTGATTTGCTACATTAAACTTAAGCTTATAAACTAAAGTATTTCCCCTCTGCTGGATTTGTGTGCTCCAGCATGGAGGATCCTCTGCTTTGTTGGCAGCTGCCTCGCTTCTTGCACCCCCTGAGTCCCAGGCAGCACATCAGGGGACAGTAGGTAGGTGCTACCTTTAAAGAATCACTTTTATTTTATGCAGGCTAGACCTGGTTCAGGTGAAAGTGGTATTGCAGGTTCTCTCTGCACCGTGACAAATATAACCTTTGCCTTTTCTGTTCCAAATCCTTGAGGAATAAAACATGTGTAAAGCTCCCAGAGAGGCTGTGGAGTGGGGTGCACATAAGGCAGCAGCAAATCGTTTGGGATTAAGGCAGAGGTTTCCTTAAAAATACAAAGATGCTGCTAGTGGTGTTATTTGTAGCCAAGACGCTGCCTTCTCTCCTGGTCACTGTTTCTCCATGGGGCCCAGGTTCCTCACAGGTAACTCAGCATGGCCTTTTCCTCTGAGAAGGTCCCCTTCCAGGGCTTTGAAGATAAAACCAACCAACAACCAAACAAACAAAAAACCAAGCCCAAAACGAAAAGAACAGACGACCAAAAAAACCACTGTGAAAAAGGTTCTCACCCTGGTAGCACTGGAACTACTGTACTGTCCCTGCGTCAGGTTTCACAAACCCTCCTTAATTAAAAGAAGTTGCCAAGAGGTTGTTTAATAATTAGAAAAACAATGGAGAAGGACAAGTGGGGCAAAATTGTGTTATTACTTTATTTTTTATGCTACAAGTGACTGAATACCGCAAATTGGCTAGACTGGGTAACTGGAGGGGAGCACTGCATTTCAGACCTGGCTTCAGGTCTGTTGGTGCCGATTTAGCACAGCGCAGGATCCTCTGCATCCCACAGACGTGCAGCCCAGATGCAGCAGGGCAGCAAGGTAAGGTATTGGGAATTTTGGGATTTAAAGCAGCTGGTTTTAATGTCTGTGTGATTTTACATGTGAGTATTAGAAAACTAATGACAGATCCACTTAAAGCTTTGGCGCTTGGGGATCTTGGGCCACTAAAGTGTATAATCCTGGCATTTTAAAGGATTAAAGCATGATCCAGGTTGTAGAAGTTAGTCAAATGTATAGTAAATGTACTTTTTCTCTCTTAAAATACACATTTCCATGCCATGCTGTAAATGATACAGTATTTGCAAATAGTATAAACGGTCTTCCTGAAAGTAGTTAAGTTTATTTTTAAAAAAAATTACTTAAACCACAGACCTTGTAAGACCAGGCTGTGCTCAGCAGACTCTTTATGGGAACCTGTAAAATGTCTGCCAAAGTCATAAATTACTGAGCCCTGCATTAGCATCTCCTCATTAAGCCAAGGCCACTGGAAGCACACCCTCCATCTGGATGCTTTGTCTATAAACCAGCAACAAAGCAAATAGATGTGCACTTATTTCTGCAGGTTCTTTGTGTTAATTTAGGACAATTAATGGCATCATCTACCATGGAGTTACAAGGGGGAAAGTGCTGTCAAAAAGCAATATGAAAAAGCTGAGGAAGGGCTGTCTGCTATCCTGGAGCTGCCAGGGCCAAGCTGATGGGCAGGGGAATTATGATGGGAGGGCAGGATTCAACCTTCACCTGCTCAGAGCTGAGGGGAGAGGAGGTCCTTCCAGACTGCACCTCTCCACAGCACCGGCTGGTTGCACGTTAACGTACTCGTGCACGTGTGTTCATGTAAATGCATACAGGAACTGGGGGCTGATGCAACAGCAGCCTACGCCTGTGAGATCCTCTGAACTACAGCCCCTGGTGGTGTTACTCTTCCTGTACTGTTGATATTTTCCAGATTTCAACTGCTTTATGTTCTTGCACTGGTAATGAATGAACAAATGAAGCCTGCTGAAGGCCTTGCAATAAAACAAGCACCCTGTGAAGAGGCGCCCTGGTTGTGCGGCGCAGCAATGGCTCGTGAGGGTTTGCTACCTGACCTCTGCTTCTTGCCTTGATTTCCCCAGCTGTAGAGCTGAGGAGGCGAATTTTTGAAATGGGTTCTGTACAGGGTCTGTCTACCCCACTGCCTTAAAACCCATGTATTTCCCCACAATGTGTAGAAGAGGCAGACATAACTACTACTCAGAAAAATACCTTTTAAATAGTCATACAAGCTGTCTTATGTTAAGAGACTACCTAAACATCACATAAGTGAGCACGTATTTTAGAAATTATGCTGGTATAACACTGTCCCTAATTATTTGTGTGTCAATTTGGACTTTCAAGAGAATTTCTTTTTTCCAGAGCTACAAGCCAACACCTGACCAACAAAAACTTCACAGGAACTGCTCGAAGACCCTGC